ACTCTAGAATCCTAGTGAAAGTCGCAGTGACTCCTTAGTCACCCAAATGAAAGTCATGGTGAATCTAGAATCCCAGTGAAAGTTACAGTGACTCCTTAGTCGTTCAAATGAAAGTCATGGTGACTCTCTAGGATTCTAGTGAAAGTCACATTGACTCTTGAGAACCAAAGCAAAAGTCACAGTGACTATGTATAACCCCATTTGTAATCATAGTGACTCCGTAGAATCCAAGTGAAAATTGCTCAAATATATTTCTTACAAAAAAAAACGATTTACTGTTAGTAGTTTTTGATTCCTTGTTTAATGTTTTGTGTGATCATTTTTGTTTTTTGAGTCTAGAATTAAAATAATATTATATGTTTGTTATAGCATTAGATAGTTTATGCAAATTTTGAGGCCAACTACTTGCCCTTGTGGATTGGTTACAATGAGGTTGGCACTTTCGCTCTCTTCTGCGAGATGTAATGATTGCAGCGGTATAAGTCTGGATTTGATTACACCTGTTATGTTTAATTAAAAAAACACCATTTATATGTAAATGTTATTCATTACATAGATACAAATAATCTTCGTTACAATCTATCTAATAAAAACCAAATATATGTATGCAGAACAGAACATATTTCATATTAAACATCAGTGTAAAGTGTTGCTTCATTAGAGTAACATCTGTATTTCAAGTCTAAGGTCATCATCATACAATATTAAAATCTTGCTCTACACTAATCTTCCACAAAAAATCATGTGCACAATTAGTGATTTTGAAAGTAATTTTATGAATAATTATAGCAGATTGCTTGTTTTACTCATTTGCCTTTCACTAATACTGTTGAGTTTTTATTATACATTAAGTGACATCTGAACCAAATTTGGGAGAAATAAAGAGTTTTAGATTCCAGTTAAAATTGTTTTTCTAGAGCAATTTCTCCATACACTGTGTTCATACACTCTATTATACAGTGACTGTCACCTCCATAATGTTCCAAACATTAACATTGCCAGCTAAGTTTTTTATGCGCGCCTCAAGGTCGTTACGTGATTAGAACTGGTTAGTTCAGACCACTTTCACAAGCCGTTCGGCTAAAATGACGCACACGTACCAGACACACCATTGCCTGTGTCCATACATTTCATAATTTATAAATACATAATTTTTGCTATTTATTATATAGCAATATATAAGATTAAGTAAAATATTGTGACGTTAAATGCGGGGGGGGGGGGGGGCTTTATGGGGCTACCCCGTATTCAGGATCGGGGAGCTTGCTTTAATACCGG